CAGACTCCCAAGTGGTCACCTTAATATAAAAAAAAAAAAATCTCAAGATCATAACTGATTTAGTTCTAAATTAAGGTTTGTTAGAATATTTCCAGTAGTATTATTTATTATCTAACCCAACAATTTTAAATTTTAACTTGTTAACCTAAATTATCTTGAACCAATCTTCATAAAACCAATTTTTATATTTTTTTGCAAATTTTAATTAATGTTTTAGTAATTTTTATTTAGATAGAGCTTTTTTTTAACCTCTAATACTAGATCATAATTTTAAATAGTAAATTCTAAAATTTCAATATCTTTTTGTTTTTTAAAACATAAAATATGAATATTTGCAAGAGGTAATTAGATTCACAATTCTTTTTTGTATTGGTTTATTTATAGTGAATAAATAACTAATCTTTGCTAAATCTTCAAGTGTCAAGTATATAGATTTTTAATCACTTTTTATTAATATGAGATATAATAAAAAACTAATATTAAAGATCTGGTCTGCTGTTTTTGTAGAATATCTTTCTTGTAATACATAGAATTCAAACTCTTTTAGCTAAGATTTTTTGTTTTTTTCTGTTTTCAAAAAATTTTAACATTGCACAAAGATGCAAAAGCAACAATAAAATTTATATATTTATTGTATTTGTGTAATATACAAAATACTATCTGATTATTATTAAAAATATACAAAAGTTATATATTATATATTTTATGTTACATACTTAATTATCTTCATATTACAGTGCCAAATTTATAATTATGTAATCAAATATAATTGGCTAATTTTTTGTGTACTGAATTTTGATTGGTTAAAAATATATATAACTATTTTTTTTATATATTAAATGCCAAATTTTAAATTACATATAAACTTTAAACTCTAAAAACTTTTAAATTTTATAATAAAAATAAAAATCTATTCTAACAGAATTGTAGCTTAGACTAAAAGCAACAAATTTGTAAGACAGATTTTTTTAAAGTTATTTGTTTTTGAGTTATAAGCCTTTTTATATTTTATATATAAAAAGTGGATATCTTAAGCTGTTCTGTACTGTAGTAACAAAAATTTATTTAATTTAAATATTAAAGTTACTATTTACAAATAAATTAAAAAAAAAACAATAAAATACACATCAAGAATTGCACAAAATAATGCAATATAACTATTTTTTCTGCTTTATTATTTTGATCACCAATATATGTGTAAACAGAAAATTTGACTGTTATTATTATTAATATTAGTAAATATTATACTTCACAAACTTTTGTATTTATTTTATTTTATTTGTTTCACTATTGTTAATACATTACTGTTACAAGATTATCTAAAAGTATTTTTAAGAGGCTTGGATTTTAGGCACTTTTGATAGTTAGGCCATGCAATGTTACTTTTTTTGTTTTGCATAACCTGCTGACCTATTTTTTTCAATTTTTCAAAAAAATTTTTTTTAAAGTCCCAATTGCGCCAATTATCCTATTTTTGCTATTTGGTATCCCGGAATCCTCCGATAGGACCGATAGAAAAAAATCAAAAATCTCAGTCTGACCCAATTTTCTGATTCCATGCTATGCAAATGAAAAAACTAACTTTGTATATCCTTAGATATGAACATGAGTCATTAATTTACAATAGATTAAAAAAGAAAATCCGACCGACCGACCCAAATTTTCTGATTCCATGTTATGCAAAACGAAAAATTTACTTTTCGTGGCCTTATCATATTGATTTTAATAAATTAAATTGAATTTTTTTTTTAGTACTTCGATCGTATATTATAGTTTGCGGCTGTTTTCATAAATTCTGGAATAGCTAAAAATTTTCAAATAATTGAAGGGTACTGTTATACCTCGAACTATTTCTCTTAAGTTCATTTACTTTAACAACGATCTTGTGTACGGTTAGTGATGGACGATTACTTATTGATGAGATTAGAATTAACAACAATTAATTATGAAACTTGATAAACACATTTATATTTGCGTCAGCGATGAAAGATTGATTTAAAATTTCTTTTACGAAAGTACGGTTATCAAGTAATTACGTAATTAGAATTAGGATTATATAAGTTAGTCGTTATGAAGTAATTACGTAATTAGAATTAGGATTCTATAAGTTGGTCGTTATGTATATCGAGCTCTAAATTTTATGTTACTAACATTTTATTCGAAAAAAATTAAAAAATATATAATATATACGCAACATCACTATGTACAATTAACGACAATCACCGTTAGGGATCTGCAAGTCTGGAAGATGCCCATGCCTAATACATGTACAATAACGATAAATTAACGTCACGATTTAACGTTACATACTGTAGATGGCAGTTACACTACGTGATTTGTATCACTACGTTCCTGATATTAACTAGTGATGTGCTCATGCGCATGGGAATATTTCGGAATCATATAATTCTGGCCCGCACTAGCAGCAAGCTACCATAATGCAGGCCAGAATTCCATGCGCACGATGCGCATGAAATTTGAAATATGGCCAATTGGTCCATCACTAGTATTAACTTATTAGAATTAAATTTATTCAAGAAAATTTGTCTTTCTGACTTTTTATCAATTTATCCAAGGTAGGTTCAGACTGCCATTTATTAGATTTTGCAAGTTTCGCATTTTTTGCTTCGTTGAGGTTTATCAAATTTCTATAATTTGATTGGTCTGATGTCATGTGGATTTGCACCGCTTTAGATGACACCTTTTATAGACAGTGCCAAATAAATGGCGTAAGTACTATATGGATACAAGTAAAAAAAAAAGTCTTTAAAAAAACATGGTTCTATTGATGCCTGGAGTCAAATTGCCCATCCTAATTTTATCAAAGGAGTTCCAGAAGTATCACATCTTATGGTACAATCAAAAACACCACAGGAGTATTTAGAAAAGGGACTCACACCAGAACAGACGATTGAATTAATGGATGAAGCCGGAATTGAAAAATTGTGTCTAAACGCCTGGTACAGACCTGGAAAAGTAATAATTTCCAATGATATGATCAGTGAATGGGTACAAAAATATCCAGATAGATTCATTGGAATTGCAGGAGTTAATTTATTAGATCCTTTTGAAGCCGTTAAAGAATTGGAAAGAGCTGTTAATGTATTCGGTTTTAAAGGGCTTCGAGTTATTCCATGGCTTTATAATCTTCCACCAAATGACAAGCATTATTATCCTCTTT